GTATAAAATATATACAGTTTATGTGAGTGTGTGTACGTATGTATGTGTATGCGTATAAATATGTATATATTTTTATTTTTATTATTCTTTTTTTGTTAAATAGGGGCAGATAAGATTTTTTTCTTCTTCTGCTTCCTTTCATTTTATGAGATTTGTGTTTCTTTTTTGTTGTATTGAATTTTTTTTTTTTTGAAATGAATAAACTATTAAACTAAACTAAACTAAACTAAACTAAACTAAACTAAACGTTTTAATTTAAATAAATGTGGGCTTGGATCCAAATCAAGAAGTGTGGTTAATCTGAGAGGAAACTGCGTAACAGAAGACCTTGCTTAGTCATGGCTATTATTTCATTCCCACACTGATACAATGAACTTTTGCCTCCAAATGCCCGATTTCCTCATCTGAGCAAACAATAAAACTCTCCTCTGTCCAACAAACGACTAAAAGGTCTCACACAAGATTATTGGGAAGCTTCTTCTGTTGCCGTCGAGCAGAATTCCTAAAATTCAACTGAAAGCGTAATCTGGACTAGATGCACATCACCACCACAGACCTTGAAAGGAGTTGAGGATGCAGGAGAGGAAGAGGACAAAGTCTGACAGGGGTCCAAAGTTCAGGAAGGCCAGACCCCAGGTTGTCCCAAAGAGGCAGCTGAGACCCCAGATGCTGAGAAAAGCCACGCGGTTCTGCTTCCATTCGTCCCTGGTTCGGATCTCCCGGTAAACAAAGAAGAGCATAGCGACCCCTGATGTCAACAGGATGGCCAAGACTGCCATGTTGGTGAAACAGATAGCCAGGAAGGTCTTGTAGGCGTCCATTTTCATCCAGCACCTGCATAAAACACACAGAATCAGAGAGATTTTTGTGTGATCATTCTCTGGCAAATAATACGTTTCTCCAAAGCAAGTACAATGAATTACAAACTGATTTGCCACCTTTTCTTTTTATTAAGATGTTTTATGTCCTGGAATTTATGGATGAGTTTTAAAAATTTGATTACATACAATAGCCATGCACAAAATACTCTTTTTGGAGTCTTCCAGAAATTAGAGACAAGCACAGAGCAGGGGAATAACCCAGAACAATCTGCCTAACTACCACTCCAGTGGTTTTAAGAAACAGTGACATTTCCAGCTTACAATTTCCCATTTAAAGACTGATGAACACAAGTGGTGCCCGCCTCACTTGAAGGAGCTGAAGCATTTTTGTCATAAAGAATGGGCCAATCCATTTAACTTCAAGGTTGTAAAGCAACAACAACAAAAACTCCTCCAAGCGTTTGCAACTTTTGCGACCCACTACCTGCCTAAATGTTAGTGAAGATTTGGCAGAGCTTACATGCGATAAGGATTGGTGACATCATCAGCTGGTACCACCTCTGTCAGGCCATAAAAACCTCCCACTGCAGCCAGGGTAACAACGGGAACCAGTGGGAGACCTGGTGGAGGAAGGTGTTTAAGGGTCACACATGCATTTTCTTTAAAGTACCACATAAATGTTCTCAGAGACATCAATTCACACACTCACCAAAGCCGATCAGGTACCATACGTAGGGCTTTGGGGAGGGTCTAAAGACCACGTAGACCAACCAGAAGGTGTGGAACACTTGTACGCCCATCCAGGTGAGGGAGCTGAGCGTGGCGTAGTGGAGTAAAGCCCCTACCCAGATGCACAGGTTCTCCCCACCCACATTAGCCAGGACCCCAGTCAAGAAAAAGAGCAGACTGAGGAAGGCCAGGGACACAGCTAAACCCAGATGGATGAACATGGATTGTTCCGTTGATCGTTTCCTGAAAAAGAGTGTGGAGCAGACGTATGTTGGGATGGGAGGAAAAAGTTGTTTTACTTGTTGTGCCTCAGAAATGAAATCCTCAAAAAGGTTTRACGCACCTTTTCCTGCAGAAAAAAACAATCAGAGCAACACAGCTGACGAAGGACAAAGCACAGCCCACAGATGAAATGGCTGTGAGGGCCAGCAGGTGGCGCACTGGTTGAAGCTTTGGTTGCTGCCAAAGGAGACGAAGRAAATAAAACTTTGTCCACAGGAAGAAACAAGAAACTATCTGTAAATCCACTTTGATGTATCTTATGTTCTATCAATATTATTGCATTGCTATTATCATCCTGCTGTTTATTATTATGTGTTCGTGTGTTCTGCAGCATGTCTCACCACCAGCACAGTAAAGTAGGTCATATGGTTACACAGACACTCTGTGTGTTTTGAKCCTTTCACTTTAGTCTCACATCCATCCTTCAACCAGTTTACCATCAAYGAATCTACACAAAAAAACAAAACATAATTTAAACAAGTGGAACATGTTTCTTCCAAGGTGARTAAAATGATTGCTTGAAAAAAGTTWATCTTTTTTCCAAAAAGCTCCAACCTTTTCGAGTGTCCCACGAGACACATATCCTTGTGTAGTTTTTCTGGAACAGAGAAGAGGCAGAAACATCTTTATTCATACAAGCAAAGTTTTATAAAGTGTGTTTGTGGCTAAAACTGCCGCCAGTGCAAACGGCATACTGAAGGCAAAACAGTGTGGCCCGTTGTGCGTCACATTCCTGACAAATGAAAATAAAAGACACTACAGGTGGTTAAATGTGTGGCTGACTACGCTGCAWATAACACGCAAATGATTTTGCAAGACTTGAGGGTAGAAACCTACACATGGTTTTTTGTGTTCTCCCTGAGGTAGACCAAGAACRCGTCAACGTAGGATCTTATTTTTTGTACGGGGTTTTACATACACGTCGACTTTACACGATATCTCAGGGGCAATATGCAGTTCTGACATGCACTACCAAAAATTGTCTGCTTGAACTGAGGAACCATTCCAACAGGTGCTTGTTGAGTTTTCATTTGAACAAGAATGTTTGCAAAGAGAAAACTGGTCAACTTAACACTGACTAACCAAAACGAGACAAACTTACAGGTATGACRTCATGGGTAAAGTCCAGTCTTATTGGCTCAGGAAGATCAGCGATGATCTCATTCCCTACGTTGATTTCCACCACGTCGTTGAGAAGCTTGGCCTTCTTAGGTCCGTCCTGCGACACGCACATGCAGGCTTATTTTTCAATTTCTTACACGTGTACACCGGCAGTAATGTATGTGAAAGAAACTGCAGGACCATGAGACCCAGCAGCTCACCTGAAACAGGGGGTTGTTTTTGTAGAAGGTGACGACCACTTTGCTTTYATGTGTGGCTGGTTTCACAGCAGAGGGAACATAGACCGTGGGTGCAGATGGAAAAAACTGGAAGCATAAAATATATATATATAATAACTACTCAAAATATGGGCAACAAATTATTTTATTTTATACCAAAACACAATGAAAGATGTTTTTAAAGGCTGAGAGACAACTTGTACCACCCTGCAGCTGTGTTTGTAACAGAGCATCACCACCCCCACAGTGTACACAGCCATAATAAGTAGATCTACAGGACTGGTAGATTGCTGGGTGCTTCTTTAAATGGCTTTATTTTAAGGTGGTTCAGTGGAAAATGTAAGCTTTCTATTTCTATCCTCTACTTGTCGGCAAAATGCAGCACTTTTAGACTTTTATGTGGCTAACCCTCTCACCTATTTTTCTCAACCCAATCATCACTGCCCTCGACATGAAAGAGCGCTACCTCTCTTGTTTAGATCGTGCAACAAAACAAGTGCCTGAAATAAAAATAGATGCACAATTCAATACACTTAAAACCCTGGAAAGCCTGCTTTCAGCTTTGTCTTCTGAACGACGGCACGGCCTTGTGACTGGACCGATGCGTGAGCTCTAAGCTGAACAAAGTCTTTAGGCACAACTGATCTCTGATGCTGGTACTTTTTGCTCGTTTCAGGAAGATGTTGGCAAAATGAAACAAAACAATAACCAGTTTAGTCACAGTATTACTGAATAAACTGCCTCTGAAACCACTGTCGGTAACTCAAACACATGAAATGCTACCAGATCCCACGCAAAGACTAATAAAATCTGGATTAAGGCTTCTCAGTCTATTCAGCATTTGGCTGCAAGAATTCAAACTGGTCACGCTAAACTACTCACCTGCGTGTGATAACAATTGAAACGTTCTCATTTTCAAGGAGGCTTTCGAGACACAAAGTCTTATAAAATAAAGCCTGTTTTTAAGCTTATGCAATGGATGAGAACTTAATAAAGCATTGAATTATGTAGTGAGGGTAAGAGTCAGGCAGCACATGCTTCTTAAGCTGAATGAGTGTGGAAAGGAGCYATCTGACTGCAAAAAACAAGTTCAGCCACATGTACCGTGTTCTCCTGAATATGCTACCAAAACCTTGCAAAGATCATCTCTGTTCTGGATGGTCTTTACTCAGAGATACTCTAAATATTCTAGAATAATCAAATACCCTATTAAAATCTAATTGTAAAACTGTTTTTATATGTTTAGATATTGCAAAAATTGAAAACTCTACAGTAACCGTTTCCTCCAATATTATGCAACCACTATTTCAACTATCCTGCAGAGTGTACACAAYCGTGCTGTTTTACAGTAGCTGTGTGCTTCGTCTTACTTCAGATGTCAGATTAGTGCCACTGAAGTCTTTTTTCAGCTCATGTTCAGATTTTGAAGCGCAGGGAAGATTGAACGTCTTGGGCCTGCAACAGCAGCGGGAACAGACACAAACGCACACAATAAATCTTCTGTTACGAACCTAAAATAAACAYCACACACTAACAAAGTTTAAAGTCCAGCTTCCTGTTTGTGGCTTGAAGCTGCATACTTGATTATGTTATCATTCAAAACAGTGGTTTTAGCTGCTGAGCCAAAGACAAATGAGGAAGGGTGTTATCAAAAACACTTCTGCTGTAAATGCGTCTGSGTGGGAACATAAAGAGGAAAATTACCATTCACTGCCGGGCCGCTTTGCTTGTTCACATAATTTTTCTGTAAAGAGATAAAGAGAAGAATGAATATAAAGTACATTGTGTCTTCTTAGTGTTTTTAGGGTTTACACCAAGTTAAATAACACACTAGTCTTTAATAATCCAACGTTTTTTTAAAAACATTTTTTCTTCCTATTTTGCTAATTTCAGCGCAATAATAAGATCAATAAATAAAACCCATTCTCTCTTACTGCAGGCGCTGATCTCTCCTCTGAAGCAGTAGCCGGTGACCGTTTCAGTTTTGATGACATCGGTTCGGATCTTTCCATGGGCGATGCCATGCTCTGCAACAGGCTCTTTGCTATCATCAGTCAGATCGGTGCAGCAGGAGTCAGGTGAACTTGTAGGCTTGCACAAAATGAAGTCCAGGCCTCCCAGCTGTACAACAAAGATATGAACAAAACAGGTACTGAAAATGCTCTGCAACGATAAAACACGTATGTGATTTTAGCAAAACACGTTGATGTTTCACATTCACTACCGATGTTCAAGTTACTTWAAAAAACACACTAAACTAAACAAAACACTTCAAAACTGCTTGTTMTGTTTCCCAAATTAGGCCACTTCTGAAAAGATTAATGTATTTATTTAAGTTTTCTTTTACTTTCAAGCTTCTTAGCAGAATAATAGATTCATTTATAACAAATCTTACATCTAAAAGCTGAGGGTTTACACAAACCCACCACACTGCTCAATCAGCATCTTGTATTGATTCACCTGAAGCGTCAGCTGATCCAGCAGCGGCTCCCAGTGTACACAGAAATCCATGTCCTCCTCTGAATCAAGCTTGTATTTGTTGAGAGGAATCTCTTCGAACCTTGTACACTGGGAGGTGATCTTCCCGCTGATAGACAGAGAGCTCTCATTGGCTGAAATGTTGAGCTTGTCACAGCCCGTAGAGAGCCCGACGTTCAGGCTCAGCGGGTTCTTGCCATGGCGCCAGGTTCCGCAAAACTTCAGGAAAAGGTCATTTTCACATGAACCTGTTGAAATAAGACACATCTGATTTAAGTAAAAATTACAAAAGCAATAATAACCTGGCAACATTTCAGCACATTGTTAGAAACCTATAAAATGACTAATTGTCTTTTGTATTTGTAACACATTCCTCTAGCATTAAAATGACAGTAAAATATGTATCATAAAAGCTAAGTGGCTAAATCTGACATAATGCAACTGCCTCTTCTGGAGTGTATTGTGAATGGTCCTAAATGAATTAATTTAAAAAAATGTAAACCTAATTTCAGCGCTGCCCCTCTGTGTACTGATTCTGCCACACTCTTTACTGACCGTAGCTGTTGGGAACCAAGCAACTCACTTTTAACACATGCAATGCTGAACACACAAGCTTTGGAAATATTTCGATCAAAAAACAAAAATGAAGTGAAAGTTCTAGTTGCTGGAGGACTATAATCTTTTAGGCCTTGATAGTTTATGTTTCTCTTTTATATTTTTCAATTTCATACGCGTCAGCCTTCTTCTAGAGGTATTGAGTAAAATAGTTTTAGCTTAGCATAAAAAGACAAACATTTGAACCAACTTCCACTTTATTTACAGATCCTCACTGTTTTATCAACAGAAACAAACCTGTGAAATGAGAGTTTTTAACTCTGAGGAGAATAAGTTTGAACCATGAACAAATCGAATGTACATCAGGTTATACAGCTGGCATTGCGTCCAGCTGAAACCAGGTCATACTTTATTCTCTTGAACAGGTATTTTCTTTTATTGCAAATATTTGTACCTAATTTGTAGGGGTGTAAAAAAATATTGATACACTGAAATATTGCGATATTTCATTTCCTGATTCTGTATCAATATTCTAAAGCCCTGTATTGATTTTTTTTATTAAGGTTTAAAACGTCAACTTTCCTGCCAGCCGTTCATTTTTATGTTGTAGTTCAGCCTCTGACCACTAGTTGGCAGCGGTGAGCCAGCCATTTGGCTCCTCTACCTTTTGAGGTAGAGGCCATTGTTGTGTTGGGTGACCACCTGAAGCGTCAGCTGATCCAGCAGCGGCTCCCAGTATATTGTAAATTAATATTAAAAACTAAAAGCTGCAAAAAATATACTTTCAACCTATTTATTGGCAAATTTAGTCTAACAATTGAAAACATGGATGAAATAAGAAATATGAAACAAATAAAATAAAACACATACAAAGCAGAACACAGCTAAATGTATCAAAAGCATGTCTCTGTAATATTAGAATTTTCTGAGACAATGAATTTTGGTTTTTCATTTTTTTCCGCTGTAAGAGGTTTTTATTTAATAGAATTTTTGGACAAAAAAATCTCAATATATCGCCTTGCTTACAGTATCGCAATATATCGGGATATATCGTACCGTGACCCCTCTGTCATGATATGTATCGTATCGCCAAATTCTTGCCAATACACAGCCCAACTACAGTAATTTGTGTGTGAGAGATGTTTTGCTTTATTGATGATTTTAGATGTACAGTACTGATTGTTTGAGATTTCTTGCCTACATGTTTGCAAATTAGCTTTTAGCTATATAGTTTATTCAGGAAGCAATGGTAGCTTTATTTTAACATGGAACAATAATTGTTGCACTGTCCTTCTTTTAAATGAATAAAAACAAATATAATCTGACTAATATAAATYCATGATTGTGAAAGCTGTCCATATCAAAATCCACATCTGTTACTTTCAGTTTGTTTAAGCACACTCATAATGAGTTAACAGATTTAAGTTCCCAGTTAGAAAATAAACTTTTCATTCAGATGTAACAGTGACAACAAAACCAAACAAATTAGAGCAAAATTGTCTGCGAGTGCGAGGTCACATAATAGCATAAAAAAAACATTGAATAACAGCAGCAGGTTATAATTCTGTTTTATATTTTTTCTGTACATTTACAGTTTGATAAGATTATCTGTTTAGCCCAGTTGTAAGAAAACTGATGGCATAAAGCCGACAATTATTTTCTTTGTTTCTTTATAGTCCTGGACACAAAAAGTGAAGACTGCTAAACCAGTGGATAAACACTTTTTAAATGTTGTGTTTTACATTTCTGATTACATCAAAACAATACAGATGTGAATAGACTAGTAAATATAAAAATGCGTGGTTATCTTACCCACTGAGAGGAGGATGATGGTGAAGAATGTAGTCGTTAGATGATCCGTCAGTCGGGCCTCCATCCTGCCAACWGATAAGGAGAAACAGGAAAAAATAATGAAATGCAGTGGAAAACAGGAACAAATGATAATTTAGTTCTACACCTGCAGACATAAACTATAGAACTGACACAAGCAGCTCATCTTCTATAAGATTAAATGTAAAAAAGTGCATTTATAGGCAGTTCACAACTCTAAAATGGTGAATTTCAGCAAAGCTCCTATCTATCTCTCACACTGTCACTATGAGCAGACACATTTCCTGCAAAAACACTAAAAATCCCCCAGAGGCAACATAAGTTTGACATATTAAAACATTTTTTTAACGATACTATTCTTATCCAGTTGCCTGGTTCCTTATCAGAGCTTCCATATCAGTGAATACAAATGAGTTCAGGCTCAAAATACACACAAGGACCCTTATGTGCTCTTATCAATGGAAACAGTCCTTTTCTTTAACGGTCATGTGCACACGTGACCAGCAGCGCACTCTTTCTATCACTCTTTAGCAAGTAGACTCTTTTACTCTATACAGACAGCTTCTGTCAATAAATTACATGCATAAAAATATTGAAGTAAATACAAAAAAGTTTGTGCTTCAAAGCATAAATTGTCTCTAAATAATTTCCTCAAAAAGCTGAGGTTAAAGTGAAAACATCCCTTCTTCACATCTTTCCACCCAACAATTAATTTAATTTACCTCAAATGTTTGAGGTTTGCCCTCTGTATTACAGTAGATGGTGTTACATTTAATATGTGGCTAAAAGTTTAATTAACCTGAACCTTTGGCTGCAACAAAACTGTGTTGAAAATATGAACCATTACCTATTCAGATCCAAATACAAGCATTTTAAAATAAAACTTTGTAAATAAAACAGCTCACTGGGAGCTGGTCTGCTCGGTTGTGAGCTGTCAGCTCTCTTAAAAGTGGGGGTATTACGCACACTCGACTTCTTTGGGCTTTATATCATGTTATCAATAATTCCCTCATCAAAAACATACACAAAGTGTTGCTTTGACTCATTTATGCATGTTTGAGAATCTCCTGTGGTAGCCATGTGGAGCTGCCTATACGCTTGCTGGTACAAAGCGCCACCTATTTGTACATAACTCCTCAGAAAACCCCTGCCCCGAAGCATTGTTGTGAAGACGTGCTGAAGTGGGAATGTCAGAAATGGTAGGAGGTTCTTAAAGACACAGAGGCCAAGACAGGTCAAGACATTCAGAGGCTACAATGCAAAGTCAAACTTATTTTTGACAACATTACAACTGAAGGTAACTGTTACTTGGCACTATGGGCCTGGAAAATACATAATATTCCCCTTTAAAGGATAAAATAAGTAAGCTGTGTTTATGCAGACCTTTTGAAACACACCACAGAAATAAAAGAGGGAAGCGTCTCATTACAAGCCTTAAAACCTCCTGCAGAGAAGATACTGTATATACAAACTATATATAAAAACCATTTAGGAGGACTTTCGTACCATCGATGTGCTGATTTTTTTTATTTTTTTGGAAATATGTCTCCTTTAAAAAAAGAGAGAAGCGGTGAAGCCAAAAAGTACAAAACTTAGGTTCCTTAAATGAACCACTTAATTAGAATTTCTGAGTATCATGCGAGTCATCAGACAGACGTGCAAATTAACCTCACAAACACAGACACTCGTTACTTTCAGTTTCAACCAAAGATGCCATCTTCAGACAGATTTCCCAACTCAGGCTATGGATATTTGCTCTTAAATTGAGACCAAACTTAACAGCTTTGTCAGAACGAAGAAAACGATCTGACACATTCATCAACAGGTGAATCTTTTTTTTTTTATTATTATTTAAAACAAGTACAACAAACACTGCATCTGTAAGTGTGTGTGGTTTCTGTACAGCGTGCATGACTTTGAGCACTTGTGTAAAGAGATGCAGATGGTGATTTTTGGAAGAAAAAAATCTTTTGCAGATCTCAGCATCACAAGAGAGACAGGAACCACTTGAACCACAGGCAGAGCAAAAACACACAGACAGCACAAAAAAAAGACACAAGAAGTCATGGAGAAAAAAAAACCAATCTAAAATGGGGGTCAGACAATCTTTTTTTATAGACGCACAATACGTGAGAACCTAAAGCTTAGATAGATACACAGGAACAACGCAGACATACAGGGGTGCAAAAAGGAAGTGCTAGATACTTTGATGTTTCACTGTCTGAATCAGGAAGGAAGTCACAGGTTAAAGTTGATAGGCAGCAGACATGGACATGGATGTCTAAACCTGTCATGATAAATTGTGCTGGACGATAAATTGTCTCAGAAATGATTGCAATAAACAATATTGTTTGGAGACCATTTTAAACTAATATAATGATATTCCTCTCTACTTATAGAAGTTTCTGAAATGTGCATGCATCAGGGTTCGTAGACTTTTCCCACAGTAAAATTCAAGCACTTTTCAAGCATTTTCAAGGTAAATTTTCAAACTTCTCCAGCACAAAATTACAGAGCAGTCTTCATCACTTAGTCTTACTCCATTGAGTTTTATAACCATGACACACACAGCATGCCCTGCCCTATCAACAATCTAATATACTCTGCAACTGAATAAAATTCTGCAAGTTATAGTATTAATATGAAATGAACATACTGGCAGAAGAAGCCACATCAGAGGCACAGCACAGATTATGGAATGTTGGAAAGCCACAGTGACCTTTAGCATAAACCATTAGCTAACCAATGTTAGAAATATTTTCAATAAAAATGAATTGTTTTTGCCCATTTTAAAGCGCAGTATATGACAAAACCCTAGCTCCATACTTCCTTCAAATATTCAGTTTGCAATTTACCTGTAAAGTGTTAAGCTATCTTAAATTTAAGATTTTCTCCTGCTACTTTTGCATCATGGCTTGAAAAGTACAGCCTCTCCCATCACAAACAGCTGCAGCTGCTTGCACACCTTGCAGGAAGCTACTTAAAAAATTGCTCCCTGCTTCAACCAGGTTTTAGATAAACGAAGTAAACAAAGTTTACAAAATTTACGTAGTGTGGCAAATACCGTACTCGAGAGTTCACTCCTCCCTACATTAAAGGGATCCCCAATTAGTTGTAACATTAGACTTTATTTAATAAACATATTTTAACTGTAAAATAAAGACTGTAAAAATACTGTAGGACGCAGTGTTTCCCCAACCATTATACATGCTGAAGAATAAGAGCACTTCATTCATCCACACCTGGCCCATTCATGAACTGAAGAATACATTTTTCTATCCCAATTTTCTAACAAAATGCTGAAATACTAATGCTGCATCACTGAACAGAAAGAACATCTGATTTAATGATATACATCATTATCCCAAAATATTCACCAAATATTCTGGAAGAGCTTGAACCCAAGTGCAGACAGACACAACAAAACCAATACAAAATAAAACCACAATAATCGATTGAGGTGGTGATGGCAGAAAACTGGTTACATGAATCAGTGGTAAACGAGGTATTGGAAATAGCTGACCTAAATGGAGGCTGGGTGGATGGTTGACTGGGAACTAACAAAGAGGAAGCTGATTGAGCATAAATGAGAAAAAGCACAGGCAACACTGGGAAACTAAAACACAACGAGAAGAATCCCAACAGGAAACGTGATCTGAAAACACAAAGGATCACATGACCAAAAGTACATGATCATGACGGTAACTTGTTTCTTTCTTCTTTTTTTTGTTCCTTCTTGATGCCATTCACAGATTTCTTCAGGTATAAATCATTTCAGCATACGATCAAAGTTTAGTGGAAAAATGTTAAGGGTAAAGCTGGCAGAAGCAAGTAAAACCTGTTCCATTTGATTTCTTGAGTCACAAAGTAATACAGAGAATGCACAAAACAGGCTGCTGCATAAAACTTAATTGTAAAAATCAAAATATTCATCTAAGATTTCATTGCTCCGGCAGAAAGTACAAAAGAAATGTAATTTAAAAGAGAGTAGTGTGAACGCCTAAATTGCAGGATACAAGTTTAAAGGTTGACCTAGTTTCTGTTATTTTGTTTCTTTATCAAAATTCCCCACTGACAAATCTTCACAAATTAAGAAGGTCTGAGCTTTGAGGGACAAAATGATATTCAGGCGACTTCACACCTCAGCTGAAAACACAGCAACGTGAAACTGCAACTGTTGTAGTTTTCAAAGTTTAACTTTGTGGGGTTTATGATGCAGCACTAAACTCAGCATTTATAGGGTAAGCAGCCGTGTGATGTTATTACCTGCCAACCTTTATTTAGAAGCAAACAGAAACCTGTGGTGGTGGATTGTTAAATCAAAGCAAATGTTCAAACCAAACCAAAGAATTAMATGATCTTATGCTACCTCAAACCTTAGTAAGTATAGAATGATTCAACATCATAAGCACAGAAATATTATTGTTGTGATTTACTATAGTTTAGGTATATACTTTAGGATATAATTTTATTATTTAGTTTAATTTTAATATTTTATKTACACTATTTAATGTGTCTAATATTTTTAAATGTATATTGTAAAATATTGCCCCAACTTAAATATACCTTCTTATTAAAATATTGTTTAGATATAAATGTTTTTGATGATGTAATGCTTTTTAAGAAATGTTTGTTTTTTTTTCCAGAAAATGAGGAAGTGTAAATTTCCATAAATCTGTCATTTCAGCTCAGTTCATTTAGATTTTTGGCCGGGTTTTCATTTGACTCATTACTGTAAAAGTGAAACGAGGGAAGTCTTTAAAATAACACAAATATCATAMCATCTCATTTTAACACTGAAGCAATGTAAAACATTTCCACGCTGCGTATACTAAGGGCGTAAGAAAATATCGATACACTGAAATATTGCGATATTTCATTTCCCGACACTGTATCGATATTCTAAAGCCCTGTATCGATTTTTTATTAAGGTTTAAAATGTCAACTTTCCTGCCAGCCATTCATTTTTACATTGTAGTTCAGCCTCTGACCACTAGTTGGCAGCAGTGAGACAGCCATTTGGCTCCTCCACAGCTTGAGCTCCAGAGRGTAAGA